TCTCTGTAGCCTCAGCAGTCCTGTAGCTACAGCCTGGAACTTATTATGTAGCTCAGGCTGGCCTCAAACTCACATAGAGTTTGCCTGTGAGTGGAGGGATTAAAGCAGTGCACCGCTATTTTTTGGGGGGTGGAGTTCCACAAATAACTTTCCACTTGTTTTGAGGTTCTTTAATTGCCTTCACCATTGTTCTGTAGTTTTCAAGCTACCATTTTGTTTTGTTTTGAGACAGTCTTAATATGTAGCTCAGGGTAGGATGAATTCCAGATCCTTCTGCCTCAGTTTCTTAAGTGTTAGGATTACAAGTGTGTACCACATTGTACAATCCGGCTCACAGGGTTTTGTGTTTGTTTCTTTTGTTCTTTAACTTACTTATTTTGGGACAGGGTCTCCTGTACACCAGAATTATGTAGGTGTTCCACTAAGATGACTTACCTACTCTTTACAACTTTATGAGTATGTGTGTATGTCTGTATATGTGCATGGGAGCAAGTGTCTGCAGAGGTCAGAAGAGGGCATCAGATCCCCTGGAGCTGGAGCTACAATCCAGTTGCTAGGTAGTGTAGACACTGGGAACTGAACGTGAATCCTCTGAACGAACAGCAAGCTTTCTTTTTCTTTTTCTTTTTTTAAGATTTATTTATTTTATTATATATACAGTGTTTTGTCTGCATGTACACCTGAACACCAGAAGAGGGCACCAGATTTCATTATAGATGGTTGTGAGCCACCAGGTCATTGCTGGGAATTGAACTCAGGACCTCTGGAAGAGCAAGCAGTGCTGTTAACCTCTGAGCCATCTCTCCAGCCCCAGCAAGCTTTCTACCAGCCCCTACACATACATTAGGGGTCATATGTCAACATCAGGTATCTTCCTAAATATCTCCTGTTGTAACTTGCTTAACCTGGTTAAACTCTATAGACCCTACTTTAGTTCAGCATAACTGTAGCTCCTCTGTTAACACCTGCTGTGGCCTTTAGCATATGAGAAGCCATTTTGCCCCCAAGTCTCCATTTTGATTATAAGGTGAAATAGTTCAGGTTCCCAGGCCCTGCCTGCCTGAGACCAGAATACAATCTAATAGTTCAATACTTGCTGCTTAGAATAAAACAATCAATGATAAATGCATGTTCTGCTTGAGTTGAAGATAAATGTATGTTCTATTAGAGTTAAGACTGCAACATCCTGCTATGTTCCTTTCTCCCGAAATGGTGGGGAACTGGAAATTCCCCAAGCCTATATCCTAGCCAATCAGCTTAAAATGCTTTATATAGCTACTTAGATACAATACGCTTGGAACAAACTCAATTATGTTTAGCTGGTCAAAATGATGTAATGCTGCCACCCCCATCTCCCCTTTTTTCATTCAAAAAGCTCGCCTTACAAACAAACTCCAGGGATCCTCCTGTTTCTGCCTCCCAGTATCGGGTTTACAGGTATGTGCCCCTTCTCCTTTGTTTTTGTTTTGTTTTCGACAGGATTTCTCTCTTATCCTTGGCTGTCCTGGAACTCACTATGTAATTGCTAGAACCCACAGAGATCCATCTACCTTCTCTTAGGTGCTGAGATTAAAGGTGCGCATTGCACGACCACATCCACCTGCTGTGGCTTTTTCCTTGCGTGCTGGGCATCTGAACTCACATCCTGTGCTTGTGAGGAATGATTTTACCAAAAGAACAACAGCCCCAGGCCCTATTAAAATAACGCCTAGCCTAACATATCTAGGGGCATGCCTTTAATCCCAGCACTGGGGAGGCAGGGTCAGGTGGGACAAGTTCCAGGAGAAAACCCGTTTCCAAAAAACCAACCAACCAAACAACCAACCAACCAACCAACCAAACAAACAAACAAACAAAAGTCAACCTTTTCAGCATTAAATCCAGAGGAAACATCATCCACAGCACCATGAAAATCAGCAAAAAGACAAATATTATAGGGATTTTACTTATAGGAGCTTAAAAGAAATCAAATCAGCCAAGTGTGGTGGCACACACCTGTATTCCCAGCACTCTGGGAGGCAGAGGCAGGTGGATTTCTTTGAGTTTGAGGCCAGCCAGGGCTACACAGAAAAACCCTATCTCAAAAAAAAAAAAAAAAAAAAAAATCAAATCACAGACAGTATGGTGACTGCCAGGGGCTCAGCGTAGAGAGTGGGGGAAGTTTCCATTTTAGAAATAAGAGTTCTAGAAATGAATGCCACTGCACAGCAATATGAATGTACTTACAACCATCTGCACACAGCAAGCAGTTGCTGCACCAGTGACACGTAGGCAAAACACACACACACAAAATAATAAATCTAATTTAAAGAAAAACAAACAAACAACAACAACAAACAACAAACCCAGAAACACTGGGTTTGAGTCCTAGCACACCAGAAAACTAGGTGTACTGAATGTATTGTTGACATTCTTGTCACACTGCATTCACCTGGTACACATTCACACCCATTAAGTAAAAACAGCAGAAACAACCCACAAAACACAGCCCCCAGGTGAATTCCTTTCACTCTTAAATGATTTATGTTGGAGGAAGGTCCAACTGTGTTTTCAAATGCTGGTTTCAGTGCCTTAAGATCTGGTACTCCCCTGCCCCCCCCCACCCCCATGGGTATTGTTATAATGTTGAACCACCTCCTGTAACCATGTGATGAGAAGGAATGTTCCCAGTTATCCCTGATTGGCTGATTAAAGGGCCTACACCTGGGCAGGGCAGAATGGGGTAGGTGTAGCCAAAGTTAGAGGGCTTTGAGGAGAGGAGGATCATGGGAAGGAGAAGGAGAGAGAGGTAGGGGAAGAGGAAGCAGTAGCAGCCATGAGTTACTGTGGATTAACTTTTAACTCCAGTTAATGGCTGGATTGGCATGGGTGGAGGAAAGCAACCCAGAAGTGCAAGTATTTATAGATTATAAATGGAAGAGTCCAGATAGAGACTGTTAGAGCAGATGATGAGGGGGGAGGGCTTGGGAAGGAAGTGTCTGCCTCACCCCAGGGGAAATAAGGCTATTCTAAAATCTATCAGGTATCTGTGTGTTTTATTGACTATAACAGCAGGTTGAATACTGCTGTAATAGTTATAAGGCTAACAATTAAACATTATTAGACCATACTTTTAAATTAACCACAACAGAATTATTTATTTAGTTTCACGTGCATGAGTGTTTTGCTTGTGCATTGTGTGTGTGCCCAATGGTGACTTAGAGCAGGGTATTGGATTCCCTGGAATTACAGATGGCTGTGAATTACTGTAAGACCTGGGGTCTCACAGCTCAGGAGTTCAAGATCGTGCCCTTCCCAGAACCTCCCACAGACCACGACTCGATGCAAAAGCAAGAGGTTTTTTTTTATTCCAATTGCGATAGGGTCTACCCTCCAAAGACAGGAGACGACCCCGAGCATGCAAAGCACAGGGTTTTTATACTTAAAAATCTGGCCACTTTTGCTCTATACATTGATTGGTCAGCAAGAATAGCATGAAGATAGTTTACAGCTAGTTGTTTGCAGTTTTTGGCCGTTTTCTCAAAACAATTTACCCTGCCCTTATTTTTTTAAAAACTATCTTGGAGCAGTTCATCCTGCCCTTTGAGAGCTATCTGCTCTGGCTTCAATTCAAGGCTATCTCGGAGCAGTTCATCCTACCGTTTGAGAGCTACGAGCCTCTGGCTTTAATTCAAGGATGGGACTAGTCACAGCTGTTTTTCCTTTACAGTTGTTTGCATTCTCGGGTGGGCTCTCATTACCATGTAGGGAACTGCAAAAACAGCAAGTATGTGCTGAACATGGTGGCATATGCCTTTAATCCTAGTACTCAGAGGGCACAGGTAGGTGGATCTGTGAGTTTGAGGCAAGCCTAGTCTATATAGCAAGTTCCAGGACAACCAAGGCTTACACAGAAAAACTCCTGTTTAAAAAAAATCAAAACAAAAAATTCCTGTACAGGAATTTGAGACTCTAGCCAAAAAAAAAAGTGTTCTTCAAGAACAGTCTGAAAAAAACAACAACAAAAAAAAAAAAACGAACAGTCTGGTGTCTTAAGTAAGTCAACATGTTTGAAGTACTTCATATATACAATTCGGAAAATTATTCACTAATATTAACCTTTAAGGTATATGTCCAGGCATTTCTAAATGCACAAAGTAACTTGTGGCAGTGAAAGGGCTTGGTGATTAACTAAAAGGTGCACGCCATCAAGACAAAAGACCTGAGATTAACCCGTGGTACCTACAGGGTGGAAGAGAACCAACCAACACAGGCTGCCCGCAGATCTCCACACATGCACATAAAATAAACAAAGCACGATTAATAGAAGTTATTCAAAGATCATTTGTGAGTCAGGCATTGTGGCTCCTGTCTATAATCCCAGCACTCAGGAGGAGGAAACCTGGGCTATAGTGTAAGATCCTGCTTCAAAACACTACAGCTACCAACATGATGTGAGGATACAGTGAATTTTGTGACACAGGCATGGGAACATCCCCCATTGCTTTTTCATAAGAAGGGAATTTGGAGAAGGAACACAGGAACGGCTGCAACCTTCCTCAAATGATGTGTCCACACCTCAGATGTTTTCCTGAAGACAAATAACACTGTTGTTCATTTAAAGAACCGTGAACAGGGTGAACAGGCTGGCTGGTGGGGCAGCCTTCACTGCTGACTGTGAACTAATAACTCTGTTATCAAAGGAGGCATGATAATAAAAACCAACCTCGTTGTGCAAACTGCGCTCAAATGTTCAGTTGCCTTGATTCCCTGTTCCCCCCCAACCCCAGTTTCTGGCTTCAGTTCTTCCAGCATTAGTCATGAGAGATAAACTGGAAACCTTTCACCACTGAAAAGCATGGTGCACCTGTAATCCCAGCACTTGGGAGGCAGAAGCAGGCGGATCTCTGTGACTACAAGGCCAGCCTGGTCTACAAAGTGAGTACAAGACAACCCAGGCTACACAGAGAAACCTTATCTTGAAGGGGGAAAAAAAAAGCATGGTCCAAGAGAAAACAGAGAAAGATTGAGTAATTCTTTATTTTTACATACTTGAGGAAGAAGCTCTTATTAAACATTCTTTCCAGTGGAAAACAGAACATGAAAAGCAGCTTGCAGCTACTCTGCTCAGGGCCTGGGTTCTTCCTTGCCCGAATGGTAAGGTGGAAGGGTATATTTTCCCTCTTTCATTAGCTTTTCCCGCTGTTGCCTGATGGCATTCATTCGCCTTAGCTGTCAAAGGAAGAAAAAAAAAAAAAAAAAAAGCATTAGGGTAAATGGAAACAGGCCCCAAAAAGTGAGGGCTGGAGAAAAGGCTAAATTTAATTTCACTGTTAAACTCAGGAATACTTTCCTACAAGAGGTCCTGCGAGATGAGACTACTTTTGTCTTTTGTCTGTTTGTTCTTAAAAATTCCTAGCTGGGTATGGTGGTGTATAACCTTTAGTCCCAGCACTCAGGAGGATCTCTGTGAGTCTGAGGCCAGCCTGGTTTACATAGCCAGTTCCAGGACAGCTAGGACTATGCAGAGAGACCCTGTCTCAAAAAAAAAAAAAATTCAAACAAGGATCAAGGGCTCTGTTACACAGAGAAACCATGTCCTGAATAACATCCACCCATCCATCAATCAGTGAATGAATTAATAAAATTCTTGTGCTGGTGTCTGAACCTACTCCATTTTACATGTTAGATAAATGCTGCCCAAATCTGAAGTTTATCATTTTTCAAAAATGTTTTATTGGGCTGGAGAGATGGCTCAAAGGTTAAGAGTACTGGCTGTTCTTCCAAAGGTTCTGAGTTCAATTCCCAGTAACCACATGGTGGCTCATAACCACCTATAATGAGATCTGGTGCCCTTTTCTGGCATGTAGGCACACATGCAGGCAGAATACTGTATAAATAATAAATAAAAATCTTGAAAATTTTTTTAGTTTATCTATGTGTATTTGTGTATATGTGAACTCCCACAGAGGTGAGAAGAGGTCATTGGACCTAAGAACTGAGAGAAACTGAATTTGGATCCTCTGGAAGAGCAGCAAGTGCTCTTAACTGCTGAACTAACTCTCCAGCCACTAAATTAATCTTTAAAGAACCAATTGGAAAAAAAACAAAAAACAACAAAAAAAACAAACAAAAAACAAAACGACCTAGAAAACACTTTCCAATTTTTTAATAAACTGATACCCCCTTCTCTTTTTTTAAATAATTTTATTATTTTTAAATTTATTTTTTTATATAGATTGGAGTTAAGGTGTCAGATCCCTTTGAACTGGAGTTACAGACAGTTGTGAGCTGCCATGTGGGTGCTGGGAATTGAACCCAGATCCTCTGGAAGAGCAGTCAGTGCTATTTAACCACTGAGCCATCTCTCCAGCACCCTTTTTTGATTTTTCAAGACACGGTTTCTCTGTGTAGCCTTGGCTGCCCTTAACTCACTCTGTAGACCATCTGGCCAAATTCAGAGATCTGCCTACCCCTGCCTCCAGAGTCCTAGGATTAAAGGTGTGCACCAACACACCTTTCTAATAGATATAATATACATTTATAATATATATAATGTATACTTGAAAAATAGTAATTAAGATATTCTCAGTATATATAAGAAAACAGGTTAGCTGGGCAGTAGTGGCATAGGCCACTCAGGAGGCACAGACAAGTGGGCTCTGAGTTCAAAGCCAGCCTGGTTTACAAGTCCAGGACAGCAAGGCTACACAGAGAAACCTTGTCTCAAAACAACAACAAATATATATACATACATACATGTATATATATAAACTTGACACTCTCTCATTCCTTCCAAGTTTGGTTTCTTTACCAGCATATCCAGTTGGTTGCTAGGGTTTGGCTGTTTCTCCAATGAGGGTTTAATGACTGTGAAACGGTTCCACTGCAAATTTTACCTTTTAAATTTTTAAAAATTATTTATGTTACATATATAGGTGTTCTGCTAGCATATGCAGTGTATGTCTGTGCACTATAAGTGTGCCAAGTGCCAGTGGAGGCCAGAAGATGGTGTCAGATCCACCAGGAATGGAGTTACAGATAGTTGTGAACTGCCATGTGGGCACGGGAACTGGAATCCAGGTCTTCTGTAAGAGCAGCCAGGGCTCTTAACCAGTAAGTCACGAGTCATCTCTCTGGCCCCACCCAAAACAACCAACCAAAGCCAATGGGCATTTTTTACTTTGTAGACTACTGAAAAGACAAGGCCTAAAAACCCATGTGATTTCTGGCTACAGCCAAGGACAGGCTGACACTAGGGAAGAAAGGCCCTTCTCAGATCCAAAGGTTCTGAACTGTTTCATTAGAAAGGTCTTACTAATTCCATATGAGCAAGCCACTGTCCGAAGACCAACTGAAAACACTGCAGATGGCCCAGGGGCTAGAGATGTAGCTCAGTGACGGAGCACTTACCAAGCCCTGGATGCAGTCCCCAGTGTGACTAAAAAGGGGGGTATAGGAGAGGGAAAGGGAGGCATTCAGCGACTATACCCGTCATTTCCTCACCGTTTTGTGCCGAAGATAACATTCTTTGAAATCTTCATATTCTATCTTGCACTCTGTTTTAGCCCGGGTAGAACCAATGGCATGTGCACATTCTATCCATTCTTTCTCAAAAGCGTGGCATCGAGCGGGAATCTTGAAGGGCTGCTCAACACTTTGGTACGTAAAGTGACGATCTAGGCTGATGCCCAGCTTTTTCTGCAAATCAAGGAAGGGCATGACTGTAAAAGAACACAAAGAAAATAAGTTAAAATGAGATGTTTCTGAGAAACAAAACAACAAAAAAAGAGACAGTTCATCTGTGAAGTCCTATTCCCCAAATTTCTTCTCATCAAACTTTTTCTTTTTTAATTGCATCTCATCTGGCCCAGGCTGCCTTTCAGTCACTATTGTAGTCAAGGAGGGTCTCAGCTTGAGTTCCTCATCCTTCTGCCTCTGTCTTCCAAGTGCTGGGCTTACCAAACATTTTTTTTTTATTAGACATGTTCTGACAGATGAGTAATTTGGAGGCTTTCAAAAAACTCACCGAAAAGTAAACTAAAAAAAAAAAAAAATTAATTAAAGATTTTTTTTTTGTTAAGGGTGAAAATTGTGTTTTGACTCAAAAACAACCCCAAACAAGCAAACAAACAAAAAGCACCAACAATAACAACCAAAACAAAGGAAAACAAAAAGTAGTATAAGCACACATGTAACCAGTGTTTGCTGCTTTATGGGATCTTCTCTTGTCCACGATTCTCCTTCCAGCCTTTCAACCTCCTAACACTAAATAAGAGAGAACAAAAGGATAGAGAGAAAAGAATCCCTGAATAAAGTCAGGGGTTGAAAACAGGGCAACAATATCGTTAGACTACTTCCTGCTGATTGGAGCATCGACTTCCTTGGAGTAAGTTTGATCTTCCCTGTCAAAATATCTAATTTCTTCTTGTTATTTCTTCTTTGCACATGACTGCTTAACAAACCACAACCAACAACAACCAATAAGCCCCCCTACACACATACACAGATGCCTCTTGGGGCCCTAGCATTTATATACCCTCTGAAAAGTCCCCAGAATTCCAAATGTCATACAACTGCAGAAACTATCTTCAGCTGGCAAAAATCACGCCTCTGCCAGAGCATCAGGCAAATCATAGTCATCTGCTGCAGAGCTGCCCCATACCCCACACCTGGGATTAAAACAAAAACATAGTCTGTGGCACATGCCTGTAATCCCAGAACTCTGGGAGGCAGAGGCAGCTAGATCTCCATAGTTTGAGGCCAGCCTGGTTTACAAAGAAAGTCCAGCCAAGGCTACACAGAGAAACCCTGTCTCAAAATAACAAAAACAAACACACAAAAAAACATATGTTTCTTTGTTTAAAGAAATTAAATTTCAGAATTCTTGCACACAGACATTATTTCTTTACATTGTCTTACACATTCTTTCCATCCCAACCTAGATCACACTTCTCTTCAGAGGCTCTCTTGAATCTAGTGTCTCTCCTTTCAAAGAAGTCTATCCTAGGTTGGAGCGATGGCTTAGTGGTTAAAAGTGCATGCTGCTCTAGCAGAGGACTCAAATTTGATTCTCAGCAACCATGGTGGGTACTTCACAGCTGTTAAGAACAGCTTCATGGAGATATGAAGGCCCTGGCCTTGTGGAGCAGCTGCATTCACGTGCCCACATCCACACATAATTTAAAAAGTACTTTTTCCATTACTGTAACAGACTAATTAATTACTTGTCCGTTTTCCCTACTGGATTTTGCTTTGAGAGCAAAATCGAGCAGATGCTAGGTAATTGCCAAAAATAAATGAAACAAAACCAGGAAATTTCAAACAACTTACATGTGTAACTATAAAGAAATGGGTAAATTCTGGTGCTCAGTTGAATATGACAGACTTTGAGAAAAAAAGAATATATGGAAAACACATAATAATGTTAACATAGAGAGAACAAAATAATTCCAAACTGCAAAATTACTTAAGACGAGAAAGCAAGCACAACACTGACATCAGTACCCTGCAGAATTTGAGTGGTAAATTTACGTTATAAAGTGTCTTCCCGCTCTTTCACTCATTTACTGTGCATGTTAGAGGCAAACCGGGGGAAATGGATCATCAGAAGCACTGGAGACCCACTCTGGAAACTTGTAAAGAAACCTGAATGTAAGGATTCTAAGGGAGGAGGGCTGGAGAGAGCCCTCGCTCTTCCGAAGGTCCTGAGTTCAATTCCCAGCACCCGCACGGCAGCTCACAACTGCCTGATGCTGTCTTCTGGTGTGCAGGTGTAGACAAAGTACCTAGGCACATAAAATACATAAATAATAAACCCTTAAGAATTCCAGAAGACTAGAATTCAGAAGAGCAGTGAGCAGTGCGTTCCAAAGGCGATTACAACAGGAGTAAAACAGGGCTCAGGAAGATGGGGACTGACATCACTGGGGCTTTAAGGACCGGATAAGCGGGTGTAGCCTGGCGTGGTAGCGCATACCTTTAATTTCAGTGAAGGGAGATCACTGAGTTCAAGACCAGCCTGGTTTACAGACCAGCCAGGGCTACACAGAGAAAGTCTGTCTCAGAACAAAAGCAAAACAAAGAAGCGGGATGTCAGGGTCGGAAGAAGGCCCCAGCAGGAGTCCGGCAGAGGCGGGGCTGGAAGGCTGCGGGGAGGACCCAGGTGTGGGGTGAAGGAGAGGCGGAGGACACGCCCAGAACCCGACCACCCAGAAGGAGAGGAAATCCGTCAAGGAGACCTGCCTGCGAAGCTTCTCGCCGGCGCGGACACAGCAGCGCCTACCGCGCACGGCGGTGCCCTTGACAGCCCCTGCGCGCAGTTCACCGACGCCGGCTCCGGAGAGACGCAGACGCCTGCCGTAAAGGACGCCCGCAGCGCGACGTCCACAGCGCGACGCCGCAAGCCGACCACGGTGTCCCCGCGGGAACCGGAGACACCAAGCCCAGCGGTCTGCGCCTGCGCATCAAGCCCCGCCTCCGGCCTCTTGACAGCGGACGAACGAACCTTTCCTCAGGCGACTGCCTCTGCGGTGAGTTCTCGCTCTCCACGCTGTCACGACGGCTGATTGTTGTGCTACTTGACCAAGGTCACACTCGAGAAAAAGTATTGCTTCCTTCACCCCAAGCGCACGTAGTTCAGCTCGCGGGCCGCTGACCCTAAAACGGGCGCCTGTTTCTGTTAGTAACGCTATAGCCCACTGGAGACACAGCTCGGAGGTTAAGAGCACTTGCTGCTCTGGCAGAGAAACCCGGTGTGACTCTAGGTAGAGGAGACCCAGCGTGCTCGTTTGACCTCGGCGACACCTGGAGCACACATGTGGTGCACAATATACGAGACAAAAAAAAAAAAAAAAGTAAATAGTAAATCTGAAAAGAAAGATAATAGTGCCTAGTTATGTACACTCCTTTAAATGCCAGAACTTGAGAGACAGAAGTAAGTGGATCTCTACAAGTTCCAGGCCAGCCACGGCTACATAGTTTCAAACAAAACAAAATAACAAACAAACAGCTCTAGAGTTGCTGTAGGGATTGGTTTATACTGTGACATGATGAAAAAAAAAAAAATATATATATATATATATATATTTTTTTTTTTTTTGGCCAGGCTGTGGTGGCACACGCCTGTAATCCCAGCACTTGGGAGGCAGAGGCAGGTGGATCTCTTGAGTTCAAGGCCAGCCTGATCTACAAAGCGAGTTCCAGGACAGCCAAGGCTACACAGGGAAACCCTATTGCAGCTCCTATTTTTTTCACAACTCTACTCTATTGAGGGTTCCTTACTCTTCTACCTCCCTTCCAACCTCATCACCCTAGGTAGGAGATAAGGAAGGTTAGAAAGGAAAGGGGATGTAGACCCCTTTAAACTCAGTTCCTGCTGGTTAGGGTCATCTGGTTCTTTGAGAAAATACCAATCTCTGTTGTTAGGATATCTAGCAGTCCAGCAACAGCAAACGGCAAATGCAGCAGGACGAACAAGCAGCCTTCTTCTTCTGTCCGTCTCCTCGGAGCCCCTTCCTCTCTCTGGGCTCTGTTATTTATACTCTCCCAGAGTCCTCAGAATTTCACCAACTCCAGCTGGCAAAGACCACTGCCCTCTCTGAGCCCCGCGAGGTTGTTATCAAGTCCCATATCCCACACTTGGGGTTAAAACTAAAACATTTACAGAACATAACTGAGTTTTCAAACAAGCCAAAACTTCCACTACATGTTCCCTTTTGTTTAAAAAATTGGCTTTTCTTTAACATTAATAAGCTATATACAATAAAGATAATTATGAGAATCGTCAGGTAAGAATTACAAGGCTCAGTCCATTTGTACTGGGCAGTCTTGGAGGAAGTATTCCACTGTCTATGCTGTCCTGCTGAGTCCTGCTGAGTCCAAAGTTCTGTACCTAAGTCTCTTTCTTGTAACTTGCAATGATCAACCTAGAAACATCTTTTTAGGCTTTAAACATTGTCTTAGTTCCTGAACAACTAAGCTTAATTGTAGTAGGACTCTTGACTATCTAGTCTTCAACCCCATCAGAGACTTTAAAAGGAAATGATATTACCTAAGTGTGTAGGAAGCATAGAGCAGGGGGCTTCCAGAACTATAGCAATGGCAGAGACAGCTGACCGCCTGGGCAGTCACCAGGTTTCTGTGTGTCATTGGGGCATCCAAGCTTCAGCCTACCTGCCCAGATAATCTGACAGACTTCTCTGTGAATCGGGAATTTTGAAGGACTGGCCTATCTAATCTCTGAAAAGTTGGTCACTCAATTTCCCAGTGTCCTGCTTGTCAACTGTTTGGAGAGCCTGCTGTCAGCAGCGGAGATAAGGACAGTTTTCTCCAGTGGCTATCTTGCTACATTTATTTCTTTGATTCTCATCTTCTTCTTTGAAGTAGATGAGAGGGGCTGGCAGGAGCAGGTGTGTCTCTGTCAGAAAATCCTTCTATTATGAAAACATCTTTAAATGCCATATTCTGTAGGACTCTGAGATATGTGAAGACCATCTATCTAAATATATCTAAATAGACAAACATTACTTGTTTCTAGCTATGTACTATCTGTTTAACCTTGAAAACATGTACAAGAGACTAAATAAAGCTTATTTCTGTAATTAACTGAAATAGCACTGAACAAGCCTACAAGTAAGATTATCTATAGGTGACAAACTACTAACTTGAATTTCTTAATTGTCCTAAACAGTTTGCAATAGCTTTCATAAGATTAGAACTTTACATCACATTTTCAAATGAATTGCATATGTACAACACATTAAGCAATAGTTGAACAAAATAACCTTAGATTTCTATCAATAAACAATAATCCATACCAATGTATTTGGGACTTGAAGATTCAATAATCTACTTTTCATCCTGTCATCTGACATCCCTCCCCTTTTCTTTTATTATTTCCTTTTCCCCTTCTTTTCCCTAACACTAGAGAGAAGGGTAAGAGAAAAAGATTAGAGGGAAGAAGCAAACTGATCCCTGATTTTTTAATTTTTTTAGATTTATTATGTATACAGTATATATATTCTGCCTGCATGTACACCTGCACCCCAGAAGAGGGCACCAAACTGCATTATAGATAGTTGTGAGCTACCATGTGGTTGCTGGGAATTGAATTCCGGACCTTTGGAAGAGCAGCCAGTGCTCTTAACCTCTGAGGCATCTCTCCAGCCTGATCCCTGATTTCTTTACTTTGTTTCCTTTACTTTATTTCCTCCCTGACCATGACCAATAATAACTTAGAACTAATGCCCCCTAGATGACAACAACCATAACCCATCCAATGACCAAAACCACCCACTTCACCTCTTGGGAATGGGGACATTGTGTTCTTAAAATCACTTCTTCCTGTCTGGGGGGTTAAAGACATATTTTAGGTATCCCCAAGAAAATTGGGATATTGGCCAAGTGCTGGAAAAGCTAGCTGTGTCTTTTTCTTTCTAGTCTCTGTAGGATCTGGGCTAGTCCTTTTGAAGTTGTTCTGCATGCAAATTCTTGAAGAAACAGTAACTGAGGCCATCTGTGTGGCTGAATCACCTGGTGATTCAGCAAATCACTACTTGCTTTGTCTTCATTGTTATCTGGTCATTTGCTCTGAAAATAAACTTTTAAAGGTAATATCATAGGCACATATCTGCTCATATACAAAGTGCACAAATCAGCTAAAGGTAAGTCTCTGCTCTATGTTTGAGCAGGTGAAAGACATTCATCAACTTTATATGTCTGTTTGGACTGCAGTATAAATCTCCATCCATGCTATATGAGCGGATGGCATGTCACAAGGACCAAGGAGCCAGTAGGATTCAGTTGCCATGTGAAGACATGCTTGTTTCAGCTAGTAGAAGGTCTTTCCTGGTCAAATCTAATCTTTATAAATTTTGTTGGAAGCCATACTTTTCATTCCCTGTAGGTAAGCAAAACCACATCTCCCTCTCAAAACTATTGCAGGGTTCCATTCTTATGTCGACACGTCCTTATAGCATATGGGCCGATCTAGCTCTACAATTTTTTCTACAACCCAGTCTCTCTCAACTGATATTGTTTCTTTTTCATTAAGAAAATTTAGAGTTAAGAAAGCATTATTTAGTCTGTCTTTGGGACCTTTACTCTTCCTTACTGTTTAATTTAAGCAACTCTTTTCAAGTAAGATTGGCTCTTTATACAACTGCCTCTCCTGTAGGGTTCTGTGGTACACCAGTAATATGCTTTATATTATAATATGCAAAGAATTCCTTCATCTTACTGGACACATATACTGGAGCATTATCAGTCTTAATTTGTGCGGGTATCCCCAAATTTGCCATTTTTTCTAATAAATGTGGAATTACACAATCAGCCTTTTCAGAACTTAAAGCAGTTGCTCATTGAAATCCTGAGTACATATCAACGGTATGGTGTACATGCCTTTGTTTTCCAAATTCTGAAAAATAAAACATATTTATCTGCCAGATTTCTTTTCTTTTGGTACTTCTAGGGTTTCTTCCAGCAGGTAATGGGGTCTGGTCATACACATAGGGCAGTTTTTATTATTTATTTTGCTTGTTGCCAACTGGTAATTTTTTTTCTTTAAACCTTTTCTGTTTTTAAAAAAGATTTTATTTATTCTGCCTTCATGTGTGCCTGTACTCCAGAAGGGGGCACCAGATCTTATTACAGATTGAGCCACCATGTGGTTGCTGGGAACTGACCTGAGGACCTTTGGAAGAACAGCCAGTGCTCTTAACCTTTAAGCTCTCTCTCCAGCCCCTAAACTTTTGCTGTTAACATGTTTTCATAAAATTTGGAAGCTTCTAACACATTTCTTATTAGCAATTGGTCAATTTTCTCATTTCTTTGTGCCAGTGGACCTGGCAAACCTGTATGAGCATGAATGAGTGATATATAATGGATAGTTTATACTTCTGATGGCTTGTTGCAATTGCATAAATCAAATTTAATTCAGAGTTATCAGGAATAAATTCATCAGTTTCTATGTGCAAAACAATTCTTTCTACATATCGAGAGTAATTATATTAAGAGATTCAGGAAAAATCTAATAATACCATAAGGATTGCATACAATTTTGATTAAAAAAAAAAAAAGAAAAACATGGTGTTTTGAAAAATATTTATTTTATGTGCATGAGTGCTCCTCCTGTATATACACCCGCATGCCAGAAGAGGACATCAGATCCCGGTATAGATGGTTGTGAACCAACCAGCATGTGGTTGCTGGGAATTGAGCTC